TGGAGAGAAGCCCTACAAATGTAAAGATTGTAGCAAAGCTTTCAGTCTAAAATTATACCTTCTTCGCCACAGCAGAACTCATACTGGAGAGAAGCCCTACAAATCTAAAGAATGTGTCAAAGCTTTTAGTCAAAAAGTAGGCCTTATTTACCACAGGAGAACTCACACTGGGGAGAAGACCTACAAATATAAAGAATGTGGCAAAGCTTTCAGTCAAAAAGAAGGCCTTATTTACCACAGCAGAAATCACACTGGGGAGATGTCCTACAAATGTAAAGATTGTGGCAAAGCTTTTCATCACAAATCACACCTTGTTAACCACAGAAGAACTTACAGTGGAGAGAACCCCTACAAATGTACAGAATGTGGCAAAGCTTTTGGTCAAAAAATAGGCCTTATTCGCCACAACAGAACTCACTGGAGAGAAGCCCTACAAATGTAAAGAATGTGGCAAAGCATTTTCTGAGAAAACAGGTTTTATTTGCCACAGCAGAACTCACACTAGAGAGAAGCCTTACAAATGCAAAGAATGTGGCAAAGCATTCAGTCAAAAATCACACCTTATTTGCCACAACAGAACTCACACTGGAGAGAAGCCTTACAAATATAAGGAATGTGGCAAAGCTTTTAGCAATAAAACAGGCGTTATACACCACAACAGAACTAACACTGAAGAATAGCCCTACAAATGTAAATAATGTGGCGACACTTTTAATAAAAAATAAAACTTTATTCACCACAGCAGAAGACATCCTGGTGAATGTAAAATGTGAATAAAGTGATAATAACTTTTAAAGAAAAACTAAACCTTGTGGCTGGGGTTGTGGTTCAGTGGTAGAATGCTAGCCTCGCATTTGTGAGATCCTGGTTCAATCCTCAGTACCACATAAAATAAATAAGTGAAATAAAGGTATTGTGTCCAACTACAACTAAAAAATAAACATTAAAAAAAGGAAAAACTAAACCTTATTAACTACAGAATTTATACAGAAAAGAACCCCTACAAATTAAAAAACGCAGCAAATATCTTAATAAGAAATCAATTCTTTTCACCACTAGGCTATTTATTCTGGAAAGAAGACATGTAAATGTAGAGAATGTAGAAAAATTTTAAGTTATATATCATACATTACTAGACATCAGAGAAAACACTGGAGAGAAGCTCTACAAATGAGACCATTGTACCATTACTCTAAGAAAGGGACAACATTTAATCATCACCACAATAACCATAGCATAGAGAAAGTTTTGAAATGTGAAAATTAACAATGTGTCAATGCCTCCAAAATTTATTCACCAATACTCAGTACCTGTGGATACATACTGGTTAGAGAAAATACAAATGGGAAAAAAATTGTAGCCACATGTTTCTTAAACACTGCTTATTTTTGGAGAATTCATTGTGCCCAGAAACCCTAAAAAGTTAAATAATATTTCCAAAACGTATTTAAATTTTAAATTCATTGAACATCTGAAAACTCATACTAGTAGTGAACATTGAACAGATTTTGTCCAAAATGTATGCCTTATATAACAATGAAACATTTATAATAAATGTGAGAGTATAGTAAATTTATTATCTATACATTACACCTTGATGTATATGAGGATCAGTAAAATACAGAACTCAAAATTTAAGTTTAGAAAATAAGTAGTTGTCTTTAACTTTTGCTTAAATTTATTAAGCATTATCAAGTTATTTTGTAGAAATATCAGTCATAAATACCGTACATAAATAGTGAAGAAACCTCATCTTTGAAAGAATATAGTTGTTTTTCTAAATCAATATTTACTTTTTCACTTTTGAATACTGAGAAAAGAATTATATGAAATCTATTTTTGATGTTTAACACTGAAGTGTAATATTTTAAACTTTATTTTTTTAAATTTCAGTTTAAATTTAGGTATTTTTAAACACTGAGCCACATTCCTAAGCCCTCTCCACTTTTTCAAATTTTGAGACTGTCTAAGTTGCTTGAAACCACACTAAGTTGCTGAGACTGAATTTAAACTTCTGAAACTACTCAACTTCACAATTTTCTTGGATTACAAGCATGGACTATCATGCCAGGTTTACAGTGCATTTTTTTAACCTATATTTACCTTATGTAGGCAATATGTCTTTATAACTGAATATTTATTTATATGTTAACACTCATGTATTGCATCCTGTTGTTAAATGACAGACATCACAGTGTTCCACTTGACTAAATGTTCTATGTAACAGTAAAACATACTATTGAGTAAATAATACTCTAGCATCTCTTAATACTTTTACAAATTTTAATCAAACTTAATGTGGAATTCAATTTGCATAAGTCAGATCATTATTTTTTTCTGTTTGTATTTATGGTGAAATTAAGAGTTATAAGAAGGATATAGATATAGGAAAATAAGCCCCAGATTTTTATATCTTGAATTATAAATTTTAACTTTTTAACATTTTAACATTTCCTAGTGATTTGAATAGACTGAATTTCCACAAACTTAAAGGTAGCTCTTACAGGAGAGAAGATCTTTATCTTTCTTGTGTGTGCATAATGGCCTTCTAGACTTCAGTCTCATTGGAGACATTTCATTTTTCTGTGAATGAGGTCAGTGATCAGTGTTTTCATGTGCATTAGTAAATTGTGACATCATTGTTATTCTATAGGTAGTATTGTTTCAGGGCAGGAATCAGAAATGGATGTGGAGTCAAGGTTGAGTGAGGCCTTATACTTATGACAAAATAATCAATGAGCTATGTTTTATAGTCTCATTTTCTGTGGACCAAGTAGTAAGAGGTTAACTGAGAAGGTTGTATGTAAAGATGAAGTTTCTTATCATAAATTGTTGGCTTACCAGCTACAATGTGGTAAAAGCTTCTTATACATAGAATTCATACAAAAATCATATTGAATATCATTCACAATTTTATTAACATTACATATAATTCATGAAGAACTGAGTTTACAACAACATATGCCTAAGAACAAGAACTGAGGACATTGTACACTCTCCAATATAGACATATTTATACCAATTTAATTATACATGAAGCTACACTAAATGAGAAGAAAAATCAATTGGATTAACACACAACAATATTCAAATAAAAACTTGTAAAGACTTAAGCAAGAGACCAATAGTGGATGAAGTGTGGCTTCCAAATGCTAGGGAAAAAATGGACATATAATCAGTTAAAGGTAATTGAAGAAATATAAGTTACCCACTTTGAGCTAGACCTGCATTTGAAAGAAAAAGAGTCACAGAAAAGCAAAGATTATTCACTTCCATTTGTATGCTTTGTAATATTTTCCAAAAGTTTTCTGCATATTTTATTGCAGTCAAATTGGAAACAATCCAGAAAGTTAAGAAAGACAAGTATTGCTCCTATGGTTTTAAAATGAAGAAAAGGAATAGAGAGATTTATTGAGCTAAAAAAAATTATTAGTTAGAGGTTAAAAAAAAAATTGAGATTTCCAGAGTCTAAGTATAATGTATTTCAGCCATCCCTGGCTGCACAGGGCATTTTTGCTTAACAAAGAATTTGTTCACGTATGTACAGCTTAAATAACATTGCTGTTTTTACTCAGTCTTTTTCATTAATAACAATGATGCACCTTTCAACAGTTTCCAGCTACAAAAATGCACAATTTCAGAAATCTTCTGGTTCATCTTCCATATATTCTGCCACAATATTCACCAGGGCAAGATAATATAAACGTTTTGGCAGCCCCATCAAGGCATTCACTTCTTTTAATTTTAAGGCCAAACATATACTGCATAGAAAAGTATGATACATGGAACAACATAATTTTACTTAGTAAACATTTTTTTTTTCATGAAAAATATATCCCAACTCCTTTGTCTTGGGATTACATTAGAAAAATATGAGGTAATTATACTGTGTACTATGACCTTAGGCTATGAGCCTTAAAATTACCTTAAAATACAAAAAAAAATGTTTATTTTTAAATATAGTTTTTATATTTCAAAATATTCAAATCAAATCCCACAGCAATCAATGATACAAAAAAGATGAGAAAAACAACTGCAGTTTGGTGTCTCATCATGACATTACAATATCTGCTGTAAATTGCCTGTGGCTTTCACTTTTAATTTAAAATATAATTATTTTTCCATACAATTTGGGTGAAGTGGAGGACAAATTCTCCTGCATTGCTTTCCTGAGCAAGCCGTCATACTTAAAACAACTGAACCCCAAGTCAAAATATGTTTTCTCTACAATCTAATTATACCCGTTCTTATCTAGCATAAAACAAACCCACTTTCTTCTGGTTGAATATATTGAGCCCAAAGATATGGAACCTGGCAGCTAAAAGAAGTATGACATAAATAACGAGGGCTTTTTTTGCATAAGGCAAATTGCACTTTTTGTATTTGATTTTTCTGCCTGTGAAGATCTACATTCTCTTCCTACAATGGTATTATGATTGATGGTGACTTGTGTGATAACAGGAGGCTTAAAATTCAGCTACATGTTTTTGAGTCCTTTCACTGGTAAAAATTACTGTAATTTGTACTCTAATAGGAGACTCAAAATGGTGCTAGACAAACCTACTTTTTTAATTTGCCTCTTTATTCATGGTTTTCTAATGGTTTTGATCTGGTCAGTTCAGACCATTTCTGATTAATGGGTATCATCAAGGTGTAAATTCCCTCTGATCAGTAGCAATGAGACAATTCTTCCCATTAAAAATAAAAACATTCTCATAGAGTCTTTGCTATATTCCAAGGAACAACTCTTGATTTTGCTTTACTAAACAAAATAAATTTCACATATTTGAGTCCCAAAGTAAATGGCAATACATTAACCTAAGCACCATGAGGAATATAAGAAATACAACATATCACCTTTGAAATATATATAAAAAAAATAAGAATCATAAATGCTAAGCCATTACCATCTAAACTATCCCAGAGCTTTTAAATTGTAATCTTAGATGTTCTACTCACTCTCTCATAGTAAGAGGCCTTAAACTCAAAGATATTTAATCACTCACTAAAGATCACTCAGTGAATGCATAACACTTCTTATTGTAAAGCTTTTACAGAATTTTTTGATAATACATTGCAAAGTCTCACCTGTCTTCTTTAGAAATAAGACACAGAACTTTTTTAGTCTGTTTTATAATGCTATACAAAATGCCAGAAACAGGCCAATGTATAAAAAGAGATATAAATGCATAAAAATATTTTCTGAGGGGCTGGCATTGTGGCTCAGTGGTAGAGTGCTTACCTGTCACATGCAAGAAGTTGGGTTTAATTCTCAGCACGACATAAAAATGAATAAATAAATAAATAAAATAAAGGTATTGTGTTCAACTACAACTTATAAATAAATAAAAATATTTTTTGAGTACATAGTTCTGAAAATTTAAGTGCATTGTACCATAATCTTCTCAGCTCCTGTGACATCCCCTTCACCTGCATTACATTTGAGGTGGCATTATGGTCAGGGCTCATTTGAGAAGTAGAGAGAACATAATGAGAAAGGAATTCAGACAAATTCAGAAAGAAGACTTGCTCTTTTCCTAACAACTGGCTTTAATAAGAACTATCTTGTGTCCCATGAAAGTTCCATTAACCCTTTCCAAGAGCATCTCCCCCAATGATCTAACCACAATTTACTAGATCTCACTTCTTAAACATTCCACTATTTTCCAACTCTCTCCCTTTGAAACTAAGTTCCAAACACATAAGCATTTGGGGGACATACTCAAATCACAATGAAAGTAATATGAGAGAGATAATGGTAAAAATGAGACATAAAATGTCATTTCTTAGTAGTTATAAAGATTCTAGATATTACAATAAAATGCTTTAGAGTATGGAAATCATTTTAGGTTGATATTTTAAAGACACAGAATTTCACTAAATTGCTTTTTGAAGAATGAATGAATTTGAATGTGACAAGACTAATGGGCTAGGTATATTAAAATAAGGGAAAAGTCTGTGCAAAAACTCAACGGATGTTTAGTAAACCATGCCTAGGTATAAAAAGAGAATGCTGGGCTTTCTGATTATGCTATATCAAGCCAAATTTTACTGACTAAAATCTGGTGGCCCTCAAAACCAGAGTAAATATTCATATGAAAGATGCTGTGGACATCAGTCTCAAAAACTTCCTACTTAAAATATCTGCTTCCAAATACTACATGATTCATAGTAATTCTCAGGAGTATTATCTTTCTTTCAATTTCAATTTTTAGCTTTCTATATAGTTACCTCACCATCTCATGGCCAGATCAATATTTTCTTGAACTTCTTCATATATTAATCTATACACTATCTCATATATGTTTGTTTCTAGATTGTCAGGGATCCCTCCTAGTGAATTCTGAGATGTGCGAGAGGTTGAACAAGCATAGAAATTTGCTTATGAAAAATAAGCCATGTAGTAGGTGGGAAGTAAAAGGAGAAAAGATGCAAAAGTCCTCATCTAAACTTGTATGTGCTGATACTACACAAGGTTATTCCAATGATGTCTGTTTTGGGGTAGGGAACTAACTTTTCTTATACACTATGACACAAATTTCATCAAAAATGGTTGTTTCAGACTTTTTGAG